CAGTAGCAGTAGCAGTAGCAGTAGCAGTAGCAGTAGCAGTAGCAGTAGCAGTGGCAGTAGCAGTGGCAGTGGCAGTAGCAGTGGCAGTAGCAGTAACCGTAACAGTAGCAGCTGTAGAAGTAGTTGGGAGTTAAAATACTTAAGGTGTGTTTGTTGTTGTTGGTACGAACCTTTTACGAGTTGACGAGGGCTTGAATTTCAGACTTGCAACCATCTCAGCACCGTATGTAATGCTCCTTACATACTGCTTACCGACTCCCTGGATACGTTCTGCATCGTATATTGGTGTCGGCTGTCCAACTATGGTCTCAATTACCTGAATGTAGTTTGGAATAACATGAAAAGGTCAGTGAACCTTAGCGGGAATTATAGGGGAATTACCTTAGTGAAAATTTTATTCTGAGCTCAGTTAATATTTTGAACAGAAACTTAACCCGATAATTTGTCACTTACGCTGTGTTTTTCTAGCCTATCAGACTGACAGTTTTGTTGGCGTTGGATGAGAAACACGCATAAATCAAAATCTTGGTGGGTTGGCACGATAAGTTCTCAAAAGAAAGAAACGCCCCGTTATCCGGTGAGAAGGCTTCCAGTTTTAGTTCTGTTAGAACTATCGTTCGTATCCGCGGAAATATCGATTGCCCAAAAAAGTGGATCTTATTATTTCTTGTTAGTGTAGGAAATGTTTTGAACGCGAGTGCAATAAATACCTATAGCCTACTCCTTTATAAAAGTTGCTCTAGCTGTCATAAGATCACTCATTATATTATATGACTGACAAGTTTTCCAACACGTGCTCATTAATTTGTGTAACATCCTTGCGTTACTTCCTATTGTTTTCGTTCCCTGTGCAAATCATGATATCCCTACGGAACAAAAAAATTATATTTTGCGCGCGTATACTTGTACTAATTTAAGAGCTACGTTTCGTTATTTTTAAAAAGCTTACTAGCAAATCCGTTAGTGCAAGTTGTGTATCGCGCGTATTCAGGATCTGTTCTATTCCTACTTTGTCATTCTGGTGGAATTTATGGCTATGGTCGTAGTTCTTTTGTCGCACCAAGTTTGGTCTCCACTCTATTAGTAATATAGCTTAACAGCGATAACATCGTTTGAAGAAATTACCAAGATATCCGTGGATCCTGGAGCTATTCCGACGACCGAGGCGACAGAGGAGGCAACCGGTGAAGTTGTTATAAGATATCCTAATGTTACGATCGACCAGTCCCAGGTCAGACAACGTGACGAGAGAAACCTTCGACTAAAAGCTTCTAGAAGCACCGCTAAAGGGGTAGTCACTCGAAGGCAAAATGAAGCAAGAGAAATTATGTCAGAATTTGGCGACGTAAAAGACCTATAGCTGAAGGGTGTCGAGTTGGACGAAGCGATAAAGAACTTTGAAGCGGCGCACCAAGCCTATCATGGTCAGCTCGAGAATCAAAACGAGATCGACGATTCAGATGAATATTATGACGCTACTCTACTCCTGGCTAACGATACTAGAAGAGTAATCGACGATTGTATACAAGTCGGCTTTAAACAACCGCAAGGAACAATCGGCCAACCGAACCTTCAACCCGAGGACTCCGTTAGCAACGCTGGCTCTCGATCTGCTTCAAAGTTTACGAAAATCTCTCAGAGATCTAAGGCCAGCTCGCGATCCTCGAGAACTGGTTCAGTGTGTAGTGCGAGAGTAGCAGCCGCGGCGAAAAGAGTATCCTTGGCGGCCGAGGCCTCAATGCTGCGAAAGAAGCAAGCCTTACAACAAGAAGAACTGCGCTTGCAACAAAGGAAGCAGCAGCTAGCACTCGAGACCGAGATTGCTAAAGTTAAAGCAGAGGAACGTGTCCCAGCAGAAGCCGAAGCAGGGTTAACGACGGTTGGCGAGGATAGGGGCTTCCGACTTATTATTCCATCCGCGGTTAAAACAGACTTCTGCGAGCCTCAAGTGTCTAAAGTAGGACCTAGCAAAATCCTGCGACTCCCTGCACGGACTGAACGGCTTCCGATTTCTGAACTGGGTGCCAGCGGAAAACAGCGGCACAGAGAAGTGGATTCTCGAAATTCTATTTCTAGCGAGGAAGGATTTCGACAAATTATGGATCTGCAGTGGAAGCAGCAGGAACAGAATCGTAATATCATGCTTATACAACAATAGCAAAACCATCAAGTGCAACAGCTATTAAAGCAACAACAGCTACATACTTTGGCCCTAACCCTGCCTCAGCCCGAAGTACCAACATTTACTGGTGATCCTATCGAATATTGCAATTTTATTAGAGCATTTCAGAACATGATTGAGACTACAAGCTATAGTGCCAGATTGTACTACCTTGTGCAATACACAGCAGGCGACGCACAGGAACTAATGCGAAGTTGTCTTGCAATAGATTCTGAGAAAGGCTGTCGCGAGGCTCGGAAACTTCTTACCAAGCGTTATGGACAGCCATACAGGATTGCTTCGGCGTGTGTTGAACGAGTCACCAATGGGCCTGCTATGAAGTCTGAAGATGGAGCAGCTCTACAGTCGTTTTCTGTCCTTTTAACCAGCCGCAAGAACACGTTAACTGACATTGGTTACCTGAACAAAATTGAGAACCCCAACAGCTTAAGGAAAATAGTTTCTAGACTTCCGGTCAACCTGCGCCAGAAGTGGCGTGATGTAGCAGACACCATCACTGAGAGGAAAGAAAGAGAAGTAACCATCAGTGACGTCGCACGTTTCGAAGAGGAGAAACCCCGTGTATTAACGCATCCCATATTTGGAGACATATCCAGCGAACTGGAAGGCAAAGGCAGTCTCGAAACGAGAAAATCAACAAGCAGAAGGGTCTCTTCGTTTGACACCGACGCCCAGAACCCTTATAACACTAGTGAAGGCGTTTCTGATGAGATTTCGGAGCCAAGATCCAGTCGTAGCAGACTATGCTATCCGCTGTGCGATGCTATCCTCATTGGCTATCCCAATGTAATGATTTCAGAAGAAGAGGCGTCAGTAAAAGATACGAACTTGTGCGAGAGAAAGAGCTTTGCTATAACTGTCTTGTTTCCGGCCATTACGCCATAGCTTGCCCAAAGACGAGCTTTTGCAAGGTGGACGGGTGTCACGACAAACATTCAACATTCCTACACCCATCAGCAGCGCGAATCGAGGACGCAACGCAGCCAGAGATTGGAGCCCAGAATGCTTATGTAAGTGTTGGCAAGCCACGCCGTGCCGTTACTGGGGCCGGAACATCAGTAACCGGATTACCAGTGGTACCAGTCAAAGTGAGAGCCAAAGGGAGTGACACTCTTTTGCGTACGTACGCCTTCCTAGATAGTGGCTCGAATACGACCTGCTGCAGTGATCAGCTACTGAAGGAGCTTGAAGTCAGAGGTATGGAAACCACGTTAACGCTAACTACGCTGGAAAGAGAGAATAGTACGAAAGCAAGTTCTTTGATCCAGTTAGAAGTCTTCGACTTAGATGAAAATAATTTTATTGAGCTACCGCTTGTGTTTTCTACTCCTGCACTGCCAATTTCATCAGAAAGTGTACCTCGTCAAGATGATGTTGACAGATGGCCCCATCTGAACGGAGTGCGTATTGCAGAAATAGATGCCCATGTCGGTCTACTGATAGACCATGACGTACCTAAAGCTCTGGAACCGAAAGAAGTCAGGGAGAGTCAGGACGAAGATCCATATGCAACAAGAACTTTGCTCGGCTGGACAATTAATGGCCCGCTAGGCAGAAACGGAATCACTACTCGTACTACCAATTTCATTAGAAGAGACACCGAGCTCGATCACATGTTCCAGAGATTTTGCAATATTGAATTTAACGATTCGCTGCTTGACGATGAGAGGGAGATGTCTCTTGATGACAAGAGAGCCCTGGAAATCGTACAATCTCCTGCCGTTCTCAAAGAAAGCCACTATGAGATAACCTTACCATGAAGGTATTTGCCATCCTGCCTGCCAAATAACAGAGTTTTGGCCGAACATCGACTGAAGCTGTTAAGAAGAAGGCTCGCCAAGGACCCAGATCTCTTTCAGAAGTATTCAGCCTTCATCGACAACCTTCTACACAGAGCCTACGCCAGAAAGGTCCCAGATCATCAGGTTAATAGATCGGGAGAAGCTACTTCGTTTCTACCACGTCACACAGTCTTCCATCCAAAGAAACCTGAGAAAGTTCGCGTTGTATTCGACTGTGCAGCAAAATACAGGGGCGTTCCTCTCAATGACGTATTGCTACAAGGCCCAGATATGAACAACTCCCTCATTGGTGTTCTTGCTCGGTCCCGACAGGAACGGATCGTTATTCTGGCCGACGTGGAGTCTATGTTCTACCGAGTTCGCGTTCGTCCCGGCGATCCTGATGTGGTACGTTTCCTGTGGTGGCCTGGTAACGATCTGGAAAGTCAACCTGAAGATTACCAAATGAGAGTTCATTTATTCGGTGCCGTGTCTTCTCCAAACTGCCCAATCTTTGCCCTGAGGAAATCAGCTGATGACAACCTGATGGATGACGACCCTGAAATCGAGAGGAAGACTCAAGCCCTTTTCTCCCTTACCGACCCTGGTATTAATTGTATCAACCAACTCCTTGGGTACTTCTCATCATGGTCTCGTCTTATAATTAAGAGATTCATTGTCTGGACTTTGCGCTACCGGGAGAAGTAGGCGTCCAAAAGACATAGAGAAGGACTGGCACTAGTACAGGACTCCTCCGAAGACGGCGCAAGCAAGCCCATTAATGTAGACGACATCGACAAGACAGGAAAAGACGTTCTCAAATTCGTCCAACGAAAAAGTTTCGAAGAGTTGTCACGGCTCGAAGAACAAGGAGAAGTAAACGAAAGCGACGATTTGAAGATTACAAAGGAGATGAAACCACAGATTAAAAAAATCGAGTGCGATCTACAAGTTTGATCCAATAAACGTCGGTGGGCGATTGAAACAAGCACCAATCCAACACGCCGCAAAGCACCAAATCATTCTGCCAAATACGCACTGCATAATTTATTTCAGAAGGATGAAATACACTCTCGCAACCAGCGGCGACAGATCCAGTACCTGGCGGACTTATTCTGGCGAAGGTGTATCAAAGAGTACCACCCATCCCTTCAAGAAAGACAGAAATGGAATCGACCACGGAGGAATTTCGTTATTGGCCACCCCGAAATCGAGAGGAAGACTCAAGCCCTTTTCTCCCTTACCGACCCTGGTATTAATTGTATCAACCAACATCGTCTTTGTGGCCGATGCAAACAGGCCGCGAAGCTGCTGGCCGCTTGCCCTTATCGTGGGTGTACAACGAAATGACAAAGACGACGTTCGAAGAGTAACGGTGAAAACCAAGACATCCACCCTACAACGACCGATTGACAAATAATATTACTCGAATCCGCTTAGACATTCCTTGACGATTTAAGTTCTAAGATAGTAAATGGGTTGAACCCAGGAGTATCAGTAGTTCGTAGAGTGTGATCGTCCGGGTGAGTGTAGTTCTGAAAAGAACTGTTGTTGGTGACTGACGTTTCGACAACTTGAG